GCATTCATTACTCAAAACTCCCTTCTTATGCAACAGGAAAAATATTCACGAACATTAAAGTTTTTACAAGTGTAATGTGGTTAGTTTATTCATTTATCGACGTCCGTTTTTTTTCTTTTATTATTATTATTATTATTATTATTATTATTATTATTATTATTATTATTATTATCATTATTATTATTATTATTATTATTAGGCCGGAGTTCTTATGCCGAAAGGAAGATCGTGTATGTTTTGCACCTGAGAGAATAATGATCATAATAATAAGTATCTCTACAAATCTTTCAGTTTGAACAGATCACGAGGATTAATTAGTCACTCTCAGGCCATCGAATAAGTTCCAACTTAATAGCATTCCCTCAGCATCACTATATGACGGGTGTTTCCCCTCGCTGAATCGCTGTGGCTGTCTGAGATAACGATCACCCCTTTCACTGCAATATTTCGCTAAGCCGTTAGTTTAATGCAGAAAAATGAAATTTCTACTAAACTATATTAGTATTCATTCATGAGCTAAAAGTGTGCGAATTTAAACGTCCTTGTAAGCACAATCTACACTTGCGGAAAAATGAATTATTCTGTACTCTTGAGCAGTGTTTCCACTACTCTTTCCACAAGTCCACATGCAATAGCTACCTATTAAATGTAATTGGAATACCCTTTAAGGCAATGTATTTAACAGTAATCGAGTTACAAATAAACAACCTTTATGATTATTACGAAAGCTTGCGAGATATAGTCACAGGTAATCATTGTGTGTCATACTCATACATAAAGGTTGAATTGTGTAAGCGAAAATGGTTGTTAATTTGAAATCCATTAAACTCAATTATTTTACTTCTGGAATTCAACTAGCTCGTGTCTAACGTACTATTTCCCTTCCCTTCTGGACCTTCAGCTGTTCCGTCAGCTTGTAAATCCGCCTGAACTGCAATCCGCAGACCTTGCTCCTGAGGGAGGTCTCCTTGGCCTCAGCGGAAGACCATCGCTCGGACGCCTCCCTCCGCCGACTACTTCTAAGGGCAGCCAGCCTCTGTCTGTGCACCACGACGTGCGTCACCAAATGAGCCTTTTGTACGAAGAGCTTATGAGGAGCCAACGAGATCTAAGCCTCCGACCTCCTGTTTAAGCACAGAGTAATTGTTATTGACGTATGTCTTGTGCAATATCATACTTGGTAGCGTATGTTATCAATAAGAGATGTGAACAGTCTTTTGATCAAAGCATACATAAAAAAAAAATAAAAAAAATAAAAAATGCAAATTGATAAAACGTTAAATGAAATCTTCAAAGTAAATTAAACTTATCACTGAATACAAAACGTTCAAAATAAACTAAAACTTACTACGCTTTATCAATTATATTATTTAATCAAAGTAAAAATACGTTGTTTATCTTCAATTCCATCATTTATTCATAATATACTGAACGCATTTTGTCATTGTCATTTAAAGCCATCAGATTTCATCAATTTATTCTTATTGATGAATATATTTAGTTGGAAAAACGAAACAAATGGCAAAGTTCAATACCATTATTATCAAAACAAAAGCATGAACATATAGGACAATGAAATAAAACCTCCGGAAAAATAAAAGCACAAACACAACACAACTACACGTAAAAGGGACCATCTTAAATAAAACGAATAAAAGCAATGCCTATAATACTGCAGACTCACCGTAAGAATCCATGAAATGCACGTAAAAGGAAATAAAAGCACAAAAAGGCAAAATCTAAGAACAACACCTACCTGAAGGAGAGCTGACCGTAGCCAACGAGCCAATGGCAGCGGGCAACTCAAGCAAGGTAGTTGACCCCCCCTAATTTATGCAAGCGAGGGCGTGCGCCAGGAGATGTTCGCGCATCTAGACTCATTTCCTCGTTAAAAGTCGTCTGTCTTCTCTGACTGTTTTTCTAAAAATACAAATTTATCACCAAATTGCCGTTTTTATGAAATTAATTTTCATAAAAACCGGAATCTAGTGATAAATTTGGAGATTAAGGAGATAAGGAGGTTTAATGAACAAGGCACAGTGAAGGGAACTCGGTCTCGTTAGAAAAAAGTCATCTCTCATAATAGATATTCCTTCCCATGCAAAGGGAAAGAGAGAGAGAGAGAGAGAGAGAGAGAGAGAGAGAGAGAGAGAGAGAGAGAGAGAGAGAGAGAGAGAGAGAGAGGGAGAGGGAGAGGGAGAGGGAGAGAGAGAGAGTGAGAGAGAATTAGGTTTAGAATAATGAAGCAAAGTTTTAATTTGGTTCTTAGCTTTGCGTGAGAATCTATGAACACTTTCTCCTACTCTTTCTCCGTTTTTCAATTATGGTTTCCACGTTTTCTCATGCACCATGTTCCCTTGTAGTATAATAGCCAAAAAGGGGAAATATAATTCGATAGTGTATCATATTTCACCGGCAGTGCAAAAATAACAATGGATTTCCTAGAACAATGAATAATGGAAGTTTCAAATAGAAACTCAAAATGTAAGTTTCGTGTGTTCGTGCTGACACTTAATGCTATGATTACTTTCAACTGCAGAAGAAATGCATTTTCAATACCCTATTAAACAGTATTCAATAATGAGTCCTATACTACACAATGTACTTATACATGCACTATACCCAGTATAGATAATTGAATAAATGTAATGATTTAATTCTACTTACAGCTTGATAGGGACACAACAACAATGTTTGTAATTATCACAGAGGATTGCGACGTACAGTTAGAGCAATAAAGATTTGACATTTATATAACCTTTTGTTTCCATGACGCAGATTGTAAAAAGGCTCTGTACATACGTTATATTTCTATCAAATTGTTTGCTTCTCTGATTTGTAACTTTGCAAGTATATGACCTTAAGTTTTAATTTCACGAATAAACTTTGATTGATTTAGAATGTGGGAATAATGCTCTAAATGTAATTGTCTAATAAGTAAATTAAATTCTGTAAACGAAATTGCTCGAGAATAGAGGCATCAAAACGATTGAAAGGCTTGATTATTATCTCCTTTACCTTTTAATACAGAAAAGGCCAGCTTAAATCTTTTTTTAACATGGAACTCCCTTCTCTTCATAATCTCTTCCCTCAGTGATGAGTGCAGTTGATTGTACTTCCGTGAAGTCGCCAATATGGAAAAGGATAAGCTCTTCCTCTCCTCTCATGTTGAATATAAATATATATATATATATATATATATATATATATATATATATATATATATATATATATATATATATATATATATATATATATATATATATATATATATATAATTATATACATACATATATAATTTTATATATATATATAGAGAGAGAGAGAGGGAGAATGAAAAAGAGAAAGAGAAAGAGAAAAAGAGAGAGAGAGAGAGAGAGAGAGAGAGAGAGAGAGAGAGAGAGAGAGAGAGAGAGAGAGAGAGAGAGAGGGAGATGCGTGTGTGTGTGTGTGGGAGGGAGGTTATATGTGTATATCTATATGTATGTATATATGTACACACATACATATCCATGTATATACAATTTAAAAAAATTATAATTTACTTCATTTTTTTGCGAAGCTCTCTTGCCGCAAAGTTGTGTTGCACCTAAGAGACTAAAGTTAATCCTTCCCATTTCTGAGAAGCTGTTAATCCTATGAATAGCATTTTGCTATGATTACTATTTTCTGCAGTCCGCTAAACACCGGGAACTGTTGGTGACACTGACCAGTTATCCTTGTCACCCCATTGCACTGCGAGGCCGAACATGAATAATGGATAACTTAGTTACTTACATCAGAGCCGGGAATGAATTGCGTGCACCAACTGAAACCATTCCTATTTTCGGTCTATACGAAGGGTCCCTTTGTGCGTTGATACTGTTGATTCCCGGTGATGAACCAAATCCCTCTTTGACCCGATAGCAGAAATATTTTTCGGATTTAGTTCATAATACGATGTATAGAACAAACGTATTTACGGGGCTGTTCAAAAGGCAAACATTCTGTTAATTTAGATAACATGTTGATGCAAGAGAGAGAGAGATGGAGAGAGAGAGAAAGAGAGAGAGAGAGAGAGAGAGAGAGAGAGAGAGAGAGAGAGAGAGAGAGAGAGAGAGAGAGAGAGAGAGAGAGAGAAAGAGAGAGAGAGAGAGAGAGTAAGAGAGAGAGAAACTGTGAACCATAATAATGAATTAAGAGGTGGAAGATACGTTGAAAATAGAATACTTTCGCTTTAGAAATCGCTTCGATCATATAATTAATTCGGCAAATACAAACACGACATCATCTTGAATAATGATGATACTTCTGTTGATGATAATGATGATAATAAGACACAAATAATAACAATTATATGAACAATAATAGTGATCCTTTGGAATAACATTAGATAAGATAAAGAAAAGAAAGAAATATACTAAACTCAGGGATATTTTCCAAAACGAGACACCTAGTTACCTAAAGCACTATAGCTCCTTGGGTGAACAACCCATTGCGAAATGAAAATTAAAAGTTATGACGAATTTTAAGTGAAGATCTCTCTTTCTCATGTTCTCATGACTTTTTTTTAATGAGATTAAGGAGAATACTTGTGCAGTCTTGCGCTCTCCCCATGGCAAACGCGCGATTGCATATTTTTCGAAGAGATATTAACGCGGAAATATTTGCCTCGGATATGCAAACGAGAAACATAAATTCCCGTGAGCGGAAAGCCTCAGAAGATTCGTTATTGTTAGCAGGCAATCATCCTTCTTCACTGATGATACAAGCTGGGAGGTAAGGTGATATCACTCATTATGGATGTCCTTGTAGAATTAATTATACATTGGCTACCTAGAAAACAGGAATGGAATAACAATATCATTATTGTTGTTTCCATGACAACAGATGATCATCAGATACGAATTACATGAAGGTTATAACACGACTGCCCTTTATGTGCGAGGGAAAGGGAAATTAAATCTCTCTCTTGAATTAGACTGATTTATTAGACAAACAACCTATGCTTAACGTGTGTGTTAAACGTCACGTGTCGTCACTCTTTTCCTTCCGAGAATATGCTGGAACTTAAGGTGTTCCATCAGCTTGGAGATCCGCCTGAACTGCAATCCGCAGACCTTGCACCTGAGGGAGGTCTCCTTGGCCTCAGCGGAAGACCATCGCTCGGACGCCTCCCTCCGCCGACTACTTCTAAGGGCAGCCAGCCTCTGCCTGTGCACCACGACGTGCTTCACCAAATGAGCCTTTTGCACGAAGAACTTCCTGCAGATGCCGCATCCGAAGGGCTTTTCGTTGGTGTGCAACAGCGAGTGCCGAAGGAGGTTCCCCTTCTGAGTGAAGCGCCTGCCGCAGGTGTCGCATCCGAAGGGCCTCACCTCCGCATGGACATTCTTGTGAATAAAGAGATGGCCCTTTTGGCCGAACACTTTGCCGCACACATGGCAACTGAAGGGCTTTTGGGCGGTGGTGTGGGACTTGCGACTCATCCTGAAATCTCGGAAACAACTTATGGCTTTCTGTCTGATCTGAAAGTTATATAGGGGGCTTTCACCTGACCCTGAGGAGTGGGGAACGCGGCTGTGAACAAGGCACTGTGAGGGGGAACTGGATCTTCGAAAAAGTCATCATTCATAGTAGATATTCCTTTCCATACAAAGAGAGAGAGAGAGAAATTTGTCTTTACAATGTTGAAGCAAATTTTTTATTTCGTCCTTAGCTTTGCATGAGCATTTTAGAATGGCTTTCTCTTACTCTTTTTCTTGTAATACGATTGCCCAAAAGGGGAAAAAATAACTCGATGCTGCATCATATTTCACCGACAGCGTAAAAATAACAATAAATATCCTAGAACAATAAATAAGAGAAGTTTTAGATCGATATATATCATGGAGTAAACATTCTTCGCGCCATAACACATAAAACTCCTACTCCGCAAAATTAACTTTGAGGAAGTTAATGGTCGATTTCACACCTAACAAACAGTCAAGATTTACCTTTGCTATTATTTCCGTTCAGAACTTTAGAATGTGAATGGTAACCTTTGTTTCTGTGACACGAGTGAGTTCACGCACACACACTTAGATTTATTGTTTCGTGTTAAGATATAATGTAATGATTGTTCTCATTACAGCTGCAGAAGAAATACATTTTTCAATATTTTTTTAAACAATATTCAATAATGTGTCCTCCACTACTAATGCATGCACTACCCCCAGCACTGAAAGCAATAGCTATTTAATTCAAGCCATAATGATATTACAGAGTATTATGGACACAATAACAATGTGTATAATCTTCATAGAGGCTTGCAACGTACAGGGCAATAAAGATTTGGCATTTATATTACCTTTTGTTTCCATGATGCAGATAGTTTGTTTCTCTCATTTGCAACTCTACAAGCATATGCCTTTTAATTTCACGAATAAACCATGATTTGTTTGAAATGTGTAAATGAGATATTAAGTTGTGTGAGCGTAAGTGGTCGAGAATAGAGGTACAACATGATTGAAATGCTGGATTATGATCTCCTTTACCTTTTAATACAGATAAGAGAAATGTCGTTTACCTGTTTTGCATGTTTAATTGATTGCGTTTAAACAACCAAACGAGTAATTAACTTTATCTTGGTACTTATACTGACCTACATTAGGAAAAAGTATCTATGCCGTGCATTGTCAATATCAATTAAAGCCCGTTATTTTTTTTCCTTTTTCTTTTATCTAAAGAGAGAGAGAGAGAGAGAGAGAGAGAGAGAGAGAGAGAGAGAGGGAGAGAGAGAGAGAGAGAGAGAGAGAGAGAGAGAGAGAGGGAGAGGGAGAGGGAGAGAGAGAGAGAGAGAGAGAGAGAGAGAGAGAGAGAGAGAGAGAGAGAAACAGACAGCCTTGAGCCAACAACAATAACTTCACTGTACATCACACACCCTGTATTGAGGCGCAAAAAGAGGGGGAAATTGCAGTGCAGGTAAAAAGAACGAAAGGCCGACGTGGAGGTACATGTACGAGAGACATCTTTTCTCAGATGGAACTCCCTTCTCTTCATAATCTCGTCTGTACATCAGCTCTGCATTATTGACAGTCCGGAATTCGGTTAGATTTGTTTGATTTGGACAGAGCCGTCTATCTTTACTTTCAGAAATCTCAATAACGAAGCTGTTTCCTTCAGTGACGAGTGCAGTTGATTGTTTTTTTTTTTCCGCGAAGTCACCAGTATGGAAAAAGGGTGAGTATCTGAGAGACTAATGGCCATGATATTAAAAGTCTTTACAAATCCTTCAGTTTTAATAGATTATTAGGATTAATTCAGCACTATCAGGCCATTGAGTAACGTCCAACCCATTAGTATTCTCTCAGTAGCATTTTATTAAGTGTAGTTATGTTTATAACATGAAAATAACCTTTAATTAGGAGGTTTTTTTTTTATCAAATTCTTTACCACTAATCACCTCTACTTCATCAAGACAAAACCGGCCAACCTATTTTGCGAAGCTGATAACACTGAAACGAAACATACATGTAGTTCATCAAACATTCATGCGGTTGAACGGGCGAATCACCTACAATAATTGATAATTCCTGTGTATCATAATTTCGCACCATGCCCCTTTTCCAACTAATCCCCTCTTTACCTCGCCTTCGATATATGCAACTGCCCATTTCTGTGAATCTGTTAACCATACGAATTGCATATTGCTTTTATTACCATTTTCTGCAGTCCGCTAAACACCGGGAACTGTTGTTGATGCTACCCAGCCATCCCTGTCACCCCTTTGCACTGCGAGGCCGAAACGGAATAATGGATAACTTAATTACTTACATCAGAGTCCGGGATTAATTGCGTGCACCAGCTGAAACCCAATCCTATTTTCGGTCTAAACGAAGGGTCCCTTTGTGCTTTGATTCTGCTGATTCCCGATGATGAACCAAATCCCTCTTTGACCCGCTGGCAGAAGAGTTTCGGATTTAGTTCATAATACTATATAAATAATAAAAGCATTTACTTAACTGTTCAAAAGGCAAACGTTCTGCTAATAAAGATAACATGCTGATGCATGAGTGAGAGAGCGAATGAGTTTGAGAGAGAGAGAGAGAGAGAGAGAGAGAGAGAGAGAGAGAGAGAGAGAGAGAGAGAGAGAGAGAGAGAGAGAGAGAGAAACTGTGAACCATAATAATGAATTAAGAGGTGGAAGATACGTTGGAAATAGAAAATTTTCGCTTTAGAAATCGGCCCGATCATATAATTAATTCGGCAAATCCAGACATGACATAATTTGGATGATGCTGCCGCTGCGGTTAACAATAACAATGATAACAGATACAAATGCAAACAATTATAATAACAATAATAGTGATGGCAAACATGTTATAAAACAGTTAAAACAGTTACAGAGAGGGTGATTATGCATCCCATCCTTAACGTATGAAAGATAAACACAGAAAGAAAGAAAAGAAGATTCATATATTAGCTTTCTAAAACACGGACGTCTCTAGAGCAACTAATCCTTCGCGAAATAAAAAAAAAAACGAAATGCCTTGATTTGTGACAGTTTTTAAATGAAGTCGATATCTTCCACTTGTTCTCGATTTCGTTGCATTTCCTGTGAGATTAAAGAGCATGTGATCGTGTTTTCGATTCTGCATTTGTGATTAATGCCTTCAACTCGATGCCTCAAGCGCGGTCGCGGGGCATACTTTTCGAAGAGATTTTAATGTGGAAGTTTTTGCTTCGGATATGCAAACGAGAAACATTAATCCCTCTTCACTGACGGCAGAAGTAGGAAGGAAAGGTAATATCACTCACTAATAGATGGATTTAGTCTGTAAACGGCACACGCACACACATACATAGACACGCATACTCTCACTCACTGACTTGTAGAAAAGTGAATTATTCAATACTCTTGATCAGTGCGTCCTTTTATCTCTCCACTAATCCACATACAATAGCTTACTAGAAAACAAGAATTAGAATCTCATTTTTCATAATAGTATTTGATCCACAAAAATAACCCTTATGATAATCATGAAAGCTTGCAAGACAGTTAGAGTTAAACGAGATCTGTACAGGTTTCCACGACAGCAGTTCCTCGACTAATTACTTCCGTCAGAAGCTGGCCACCAAAGACACGAATTTCCTAAACATGATTGTCCTTTGTAAGTTTCAATCGATTCTCGAACCTCGCGCCGAAGCATTGATGAAATTCAAATAAGTTCATGAATACGTGTGCTGCTACGAGGCATGAGGGGGGGGGGTGAGTGGAGAGGAAATATCTTTCTGAAAATAGATTTCTCTGTGTATACAGATTAAGTATGTAGTGAAAATGAAAATAAAGTCCTATTTCGTCACCCTTTGCCTCCCGTTCGTAATGCGCTCTATCTGTGCCTCTCACGGAAGCATAGACTTCTATGATTTACATCTTGTCGTTCATTTTTCCTGAGGAATTGTCAAGTTTTGCCGACAGGGAGAGGCAAAAAAGAGAGAGTCATTTCATTACTGCGAGCGTGTGTGTGTGTGTGTTTATTCAGAGTTACACGCACACACACACACAGCCGGTGGACGACAGACTTTTATTAACTAATTAAGGCAAACTATTTCGAGGCTTTTCCTGCGCCGTCTGATCCCCGCCTCCAACTTCGAGGCGGCGGCCGCTTCTAAGTCTTGTAGCTGTCCCTCCGCTTCCGTGATGGCCCGCGATTCCTCTCTGGGTTAAACTCCGGAGAATTCCTGATGCAATCTCTGGTGTAAATGAAGCTGCATCCATAACCGCCATGCACCATAACCGTCTGGTTATGCTGCATGACGCGTGGCGCGAGGACCTCGTCATTTCTCTCTCTCTCTCTCTCTCTCTCTCTCTCTCTCTCTCTCTCTCTCTCTCTCTCTCTCTCTCTCTCTCTCTCTCTCTCTCTCTCCCTCCCTCTCTCTCTTTCTCTCTCTCTCTCTCTCTCTCCCTCCCTCCCCCCCCCCCCTCTCTCTCTCTCTCTCTCTCTCTCTCTCTCTCTCTCTCTCTCTCTCTCTCTCTCTC